ACCTGCTAAGCCAGGGCCCAACTGGTCTCCAGCGCCAAGGATGTTAAAATTAATACAGAAGTTTACTTGGAAAGGCATGCTTAAAAACATCTTGATCCCCTGGACAGAAAAGACTTCGGCTCCAGACCGTTCGTGTTCCAGCAAGATTCGGCACCAGCTCATAGATCGAAGGTGACTCAGCAGTGGTGCAAAGACAACCTCCCAGGCTTTATCAGCGCTCAAGAATGGCCATCCAACAGTCCTGATTTGAATCCTGGACCATTCCGTGGTCATTATTGGAGAGCAAGAGCCGCTCAGCAACAACACTCAATAGATTCATTGAAGAGGACCTGCTCAAAGCATGGTAGGGAATACTTTCGGCGTGCCTTTGCGCCACAGTGCACTTCTCCACACGTCTAAAGGAATGTCTCAGCTCAAGGAGGGCGTTTCGAGATATGAATGTGTGTTTTGTAATGGCGGTATATTAACAAATTGTAAAAATTCAGTCCTCACTCTATTGTTTTACCGTTTTTACAACGATGAATATTTGAGCGTATTTTTGACGCACAATTCACATGTTCCACCTGAGTTCCTCATTGCAGATGCATGAAACCAAAACACTGAGGTATTCTCATGGGCTAATCGTTCAAATATTTCAATCGCTCGTTATCATTGGCGCAAGGTATAGAACAACCTGAACAAAGCAATGCCCATGAAAATTTTCTTTCTTCATCCTTCGCGTTTTTTTTTTGGAAAAGGACAAAAGGCCGATTAGCCAACTCCGCAATGCGCTTCACTTGCTCTATTGGAGCGTTGGGTAACAGTAATCAGGCAGGCATATTCTTACCCATCGGTTCTTGAACATTCGTTGTAGGAACAAAAAAAAAACGATTAAGTGAAGTTAGGACATAATCTATCCCAAATTGGACCGATATCACGCGTCGACAGAAAGAGAAGATTTGTGTGTGATGTGGGGATACTACTTCCACTTCGAGGCGGATTTTAAGAAATGAGGCGTTGTGTCAAGGTTCGACAATTATTTGACAAAGCAGTGTACAATATGAGCGCCGTTGTCGTTGCGGGCTCAGCCAGATACATTGGCATGCAGCATGTAATATAAGAATGCCTAGTGACTATCCATACCATCCATGCGATGCGATTTCCTTCATGCAGAGGAGGGGAATGGGGCAAAAAAGAGTCACTCCCCTTGACATTTGAAACGGAACTAACTACACTTTGCTACATTCAAACCGAATGTCGTTGCGATTATTCAATATAGTATATAGGCAACTAGTTGGCCATGTTAAATTTCTTTTGTAGCTCTTTCAACATAGAGGGGAGTCCTAGTTCTCGAAACATAGGTTCTTCGGAGGAAGTATGCTTACAGAAAGGCGTCTTAAAGGGTCAATAATCACGTAACCTGGCTATATATGTATAAGCTTGACAATATTATCCTTATCAGATTCCATCAAAATCTCAGGCAGATTCCGCGCAGCTCCCCAGTCAAGCCTATTCTACTTGTAGGTTGCTGGACGTGCGAGCCGCCTCGGCTCCTTCATCGCCGATCCTGCCACTGATATTCTCGATCGTCAGTTCTGTGTTGGCTCCAACAATAAGGCGGGTATTTACCTATTCATTCTGCTGTTATTTTTTGTCACCACTACGCCTATGGTTCACGTCGAGCTGCGAGAGCGCTTCGTGTCGAAGCCGGATTCCAACATTCAACAGCTTGGCCACCCGCCCACTGGAGTAGAATAAGGACAGTTGGTGCTTCCTGTCGGACTGCTCTCCATTTGTGCAATAAACGGATAGTATTCATTTTAGTGATAATCCCAGTTCCGCTTGACCACTGCTTGAAGCACTGCACAAGGCGAGCATCTCCATACCGAACAAGCCCAACTGAGAATTAAAGTGCAGATCCCGGTCTCTCAAAGAACTTCGTAGATCGACACAGCGACGAGATCAAAAGGTTCTACCACGGGTTCAAGCGCAACGGGGTCCTCGACGGATCGTCAAGGATCACGAAGTTATCTGAAACGCTGGTCAAAAGCGGTCTTGCATAGTCACAGCTAGTGTCTCTAGAAGCTATTCAACAGTTAACCGATTGAAGAAATTATGTAGCAGCTTCAGGCCGGAGCGATTACGGTAGCCTCTTGAGCTCGACGGTGATGGCAGATGACGTCATATTCTGAAGACGGTGAGGCAGTGAAGGAGGGCCTGGTTCTGCTTTACTTTTACGGAATATTTTGCTTCAAAGCTTCTATCAACGGCGGCAACCTGTGCGACAAAAAATGGATTAGTCCCTATGAGCAACGTGACTCTTTTTCTGCCCCCCCCCCTGTATATTTATTCCATTCTCCGCATGCATATAACAAGCAATAGCTCAGATGGAGGTATGCTTTGCTCGGCAAAGAGCACAATTCGAGTGCGTGATATGAATTACGAGCGCAAAATTGATGATGGGATAAGTACTCACATCACCATGCCGCGCGTGAGTTTGACATTCCGGCGGTAGTTTCCCATTGGTGTCCTGGGGACAGCATGCCGGGGGAAACATGTAGCGCCCTTTTGTCAATTGGAACCATCCTGATTCATTGAACTCTCCTACCTTTGAATCAACTCCACAACATGACTTCTGAAATGAAGTAAAATTCGGAGTAAATCGATATTAATTTGAAATTAAATGATAATTTTCAAGCTTTGTACTGATCATCTGTGATCACATCAATGTTCTGACCTTCCATCATTAGTTTGTCCCACGCTGCTTTCATCAGCATACCATCAACGTTCTTCGCAGCAGGGCTGTCACTGAATTATACATCCGTAGAGAAGCTCTCAGAATTCGCGGAAGATCGTTCTCGACGTAATGAGTGTATTCGGATTTTGAGCATAGCTTTGTTGAGTTCTTTGTGTGAATTTCGCATACATATGTGTAATTGAAGCACAACAGCTCAGTAGGGTGTGGGCAGTGGTCGGAAACGACTGCAATGCCCCTCGGCGTCTTCGACACACCCACACCCTGCTTGGGAGTGTTGCTTTAGAGACGAAGGCAATTTTTGATGATATCTGTCACTGTTAGGCACGCTAATTTCGATTAACTCAGATTAATATAAGAAGGGACATTATAGTCGTACAGGGGTCGCATCGGAAAGACAAATGGTAAGGACGCAAATGGGGTCTTCTTCAACAGTGATGGTAAGCGATTGATTAAAGAGACCCAATCCATGGTGAATCTTCAAAGTGGAAGCAGCAAGCCTATCAGCGTCGGCGGTTGAGCCCTAAACTTGGTCTCTGCTACAATGTTGAATGGCAGATGCCTCGCGGGTCAAGTATAGGGGATGCGCCTAGAGAACGTAGAGTTTGAATGATATCACTGCGGTCGAGCTTGCGGCCCAGAAGGACAGACGATGGTTCCTAATTTGTGCGATGGATAGAACAGCACGCGTGCAGTAGCTGCCGCTACTGGCTTACAATATTGACACAAGGTTTGGTAGGATTCTCCTGGTAGTATTTTCATTCTCGGAACCTGTGATGACGTTGTTGTGGCAGGTATGGCGCATGTCACTGTGTCTGCAATGACTCCCCAAATCCATCCACATGTGCTCGATACGATTTGAGTAAGGCAAGCGGACAGTTTCATCCAATTCCACTACAATGTTAGAAAAGTTATGCTGGTATAGCCACATCGTCCTTAAGTTTTGCACTTCAGTGTACGATCTCGTCTCTGGTCCGGACATGATCCATCTCGTGTCTTTTATTTTCTCAAAAAATAGATTAAAATCACTGACCATATGACTGTGCATAGCAGCGTAGATAGCAGCAGCGATTTCAGTAGCAAGAATGATCATAAGGCAAGTAGCGTACTGAAAGATCTTCATTTTCATACTGCTGTGCATGCGGAGTGCAGTGTTGCCAGGTTAGGCTGGTGTCAGAGTCCGGCGATCTGTCGCCGCGATCTCAGCGCGATCAGCAAAATCGGCATAAGTTGGCTAGAGCCTCATTTGAGCATTTGAAACACTGAATATGAACAAGTAGAATCATGAACAGTCGTCATTCAACCATCACCATCAAGCAGAAAATGGCGGCGGGATTGGAGAGCACCTCGCAGTATTGATCGGAGCACTTGTAATTTCTGTGATCCGTCGCGCGAAAATCGCATGACGGATCGCGGACTCTGACACTAGCTTCAGTGAACTTCTGCTTACTCCTTTTTCAAAAAAAAATAATTTTCGAGAATTCTTCCTTAAAATTCATATTGTACAATAATACGAATTTTAAGAACACATGGATCTGGAGAAGATGGAGGATGGAGGGTATGATTCATTCAGTTGTTCGGTGAAATGAAAGAATTCGAGTCTATTTTTTAAAGTTTCCTAATTTAATGTTCTTATGCCTCCAGCTTTGCAAGAGTATATGAGTTTGTAAGTTTTACTGCGGAATCATTTGGTGTTCGAATGCCGCGTCAAAACCTGGCTGAATTCTTCATTTTTTATACTTCATCGATTCTGCACGGTCTCCGTTGACAAGTCGTGGCGTCAACGGATGTAAGGAATCGACTCGAAGGACTACAGGGTGACTACTAAATATTGGCGCATGGCTTATTGGCCATATTTTCTAAAAGAGAACCCATAACATTTTCACATTTTTACATACAATAGAACATAACACTGCACTGTTTAAGAAAGTGCTCGAATGGCCTTTTTCGGCAGCGATACAGGCTTCAAGTCTCTTCTCAACTGACATCACCGTGGGCCGCAAGTAGCTGACGTCGAGTTCCTTCCACGCCTCCTCCAAGGAAGCCTTCAGGGAGTCCAAACTTCGACGTTGCTCAGAAGGCATCTTCTGCTGCAAGAAGCCCCACACCGCAAAATCCATTGGGTTCAAATCGGGCGAGTTAGATGGCCAAACATCTTGTGACCAGTAACCTGGAAAATGGACGGTCACAGAACTCCAGCGTAGATTTTGCGGCATGGGGAGGCGCCTAGTCTTGCTGAAGAATGCACTGACATTTGCTGGAGGTCGAAACAGTCCATGGAAGGAGCACATCACGTAAAATTGTTTCCTGGTAGATCTGGGCGTTAATTTTGACGGATTTGTCCACAAAGACAAGCGGTGTCATGGTTTCAGAAGTAATTCCTGCCCAAACCATGACAGATTTTGGAAATCGGCTCCTTGTGTGCACACAACGTCGAGCAGAATGTCTGCTAGCCAGATCCAACAATTGCCTGTCGTTTTGAGAATTGTGCGCCACTTCCAGTGTGAAGATCTTCTCGCGTCACGCCGACGTCAGCTACTTGCGGCCCACGGTGATGTCAGTTGAGAAGAGACTTGAAGCCTGTATCACTGCCGAGAGGAGGCCATTTCGAGCACCTTCTTCAGTGATGTATCTCCAGTCCTGTATTTGCTATGTCTTACAGAAATAAACTCCCAAAGATGTTATAGCCTCTATTTGTAAGAATTGGTAAAAAAAAATCATGCGCCAATATTTAGTTGCACCCCTTGTAGGGTTCGTCTTTCTTAGAGTCACGCAATCGTATGGGAATCCATTCTTGTTATCATTTGCACTTTCGCTCTCATCCATTCTTCCTTGCTTTTGACCCAGAAGGTTCTTCATTGGGGCGCTTTTGAAGAAGACGGAGACACTCTCTCTTTCATTATTGTGGTCTAGGAAAAAGGTGAGAACCTCAGTAGATGGTGCACGTGGTGGTTGCCAGGTAGAATGTTGCTCTATCAACAGAAATTTGTTGAACCAGCACATTTTTCTTAGAAAACGTGTTTTACTATACCTCCCAACGAGTGGAGGTAATCAAGCGGAATTTCTCCAGGTACATGGCTTGACCAGACCATGTCGACAAAATCAGTGAGTATATCAATTATTGATGCATATTGTATCTAGTCTGATTGTTTAGAAACGCACTTACACAGCAAAGAAGCGGCCGCCATTCCTTGGCAGCCCCACAGCAACCAAGAAAAGCAACCGTTATAACAAGCAGTCCACCAAAAAGCAAAAGATAACCGATTTGCCGAACAGCTGTGGGCTTGGTGGCCTGGAAAACATTTCAACGATCCATCATTTTGTCGGAAAACATACACATTTCTTGTTCACTCTTGCACTTTGGGCAACTCTCAGGAATCAGGAAAGGTGCTTGCCTAGCCTCACTATCATGTTAGACACCTTATAATCATGAGGTGACTTACCAGATCTCGTAAGGCCTCCTCCTGCTCGTAACCTTGAATTTGTGCTGTGGCGAACGATAGATTATCAATGGCATATTTATCCAAAACTAGCCATGTACCGATTCCAACACCCAAACAACACCACAGAGCTGAAAATGTACCTATGAGTTAAGTACATTCTGCAACGATTGATGGCTAGAGAGCCCTTTTATTTTGAGCCTAGTATGGCCATTGAAGGCAAAATATTTTTGATCTTCTCAATGCGCACAAAATCCAGTTGAAAATATGACGTGAACAATATTTCTATAATAGAAAATCAAAGGTTCAAGTAAAAGATTCAGAAGCCATGATCTAGATGACGTAGGGCGGTACGGTTTTAATGATATAGTTGAACGTTATTGGTAGAAGGGCGTTGAGAAGCGGTAGCAGGCACTACCACCGACGCACTAAGGGGTATCGTACCACGAGTTATAGTGACGTATCGAACCGCCCTCGCCTTCAGCCGTCGTAATCAAATCCCTTTCAAGTTGTTTTGGAATGTGGCAAGTTTTGTTCACGAATTGCCCTTATATCATTCTGAATCCTTTATATTAGGTTGGTCCATAAGTCTTGCAACAAATTACATTTAATGCTAAAATTTTTGTGAGAACTCCGAAAATTCCGCAACATGTTTGTTGACGTAGCACCCACCTTTGCAATTTCAGCCAACCGTCCAGCTCGTTGTCTCGCTTACTTAGTAATGGATATTACACCGATTTCGCGAGAGGGCTCTTCGATGCCCTTAATTTTTACGAGTACTGCTTGGAATGTTCCGCAAGTCATGCTAGACCAAGGATACCAGAAGATGGGCGCAGGCAACGCTCTCCATCGCTTCAACCGGTGCAAGGGCGCTCCGCACCGCTGTTTAAGCGTGACTTTGTTTTATGTGAAGATTGATTACACATCCAACCCCAGCGTGACTGGGCAATCAAGGCATGCTTCACCTGACCAGTTGAGAAAGCGGATATGTATAGCCTATCGATCGGTTTGCCAGAGCATTTCTGATGCGACAAGGAAACGGCACTGTGCCATCTTCAGAGACTTGTAAAGATCCGAAAGTAAGGACTCTGGCTCCCACATGCTTGGGCCCGAATTAGCTTCAAACACCATCTGACATCCTCGTGTTCAGCCGACTTCCTAGGCATTTCTTCGGAATGACCATCCATCACATTTGCCAAAATATGAGGAGGTGGGTACAGTCTGCTAACAAATGAACAAGCGGCGGTAGTCCAGCTCAAACGCTTCGGGAGTTCTTACTGCTAAGTTCAACCTCGTCCAAGTAGGGCCTTCTCGGATTTTTGGTGGAACACGAGAGGAGTTGAGCTCTGGAAACCCTACGTGTAGATGTCGCAGTCAACGCGAAGTCAACCTATCCACAGCTCGATTGCAACGCTTTTAATACGAAAGAAAACAAGGCAAAGTTTGCTTTTTATGACACCGTTGAACCACCTCTTGCTAAGAAAATCCAGGAAAATTTTGGGACTCTCGGACGGAGAGTTCTTCCGTATTCACCTTATAGCCCTGACCTCGTGCCAAAGGATGCCCACCTGCTCCCTCTCCAGACCACCTCCTAGAGAAGAAAGCTCATCCTAACCATCATGATGTCAAAATCGACATCTGATCTTTCTTCGATCAGAATTCAGTGGAGTTCTACAAGAGAGGCATCGAACAGCTTCTAGTGCGTTGGCAATAGGTTGTAGATATTGATGGTGTGTACATGCTGGATGAATGGAACAAAAAGATAATAAAAATATTAAAATCAAAATTAGCCAGTTTGTTGCAAGACTTATGTATACCACCTAATATTATTGCTTGCGTTCTTGTTAAGTGCTATTTCAAGGGGAGTTTCCATGACAAAACGAATTCGAAGAAGGGCAAGTGTGCCTACTCTGAAGACATTCACCCCACGGAAATTAAGACCGCCGTCACACTCGGCGACGGACAAGCGATGGAGCGATCGCGTCGCTCCATCGCTTGTCCGTCGCCGAGTGTGACGGCGGTCTAACGTGGCGCTTTCGCTGGCGAAGGACGCGCCCGTAGGGGCCTGCACGATTTTTCCCATCCCAACGCTTCGCCCCTCTGCCCATGTAATACCTCAGCGCTGATCCTCCGGACTGTGACTCTTTTAGCAGAAAGAGCAGAGCAGAGCAATCACAGTGATGACGGATAGAACTAGCCTGTAGTACAGAATTCTTTGGCAACCGTTGGGTTCATGTGAGCGCACCCAATTTTGCACGATCCTATTTGAAAAAAAAAACAGGTAAGAAGAAGTATTTCGGAAGAGGATGTAATTGGATAGCCTCAAGTGTTCTCTTACAGAAGGACACACATTTACCGCAGGAACTTTAAACTCCGTTGAGTTCTGAAAAATTGACAACTGTTGTAGCAACAACACCTGACCTGACAGATCATTGGATTGAGCTGTGGAGCAAATCCCTTACATATTTTTACCTTGCCTATTTTCAATCGACTGTCTGGGATTAGTGAGCGTACGTGTGTGCGGTCGTGAAAGAGGAAGCTCTCTTTCAGAAAGTGCTATCATTTTTCAAGACCTCGAATCCACTTGACCTATTAATTACGGTTAAAAGTGCAAGCCTTGGGATGACCTCTTTGCAACACATGTTCTATTGGATACATACATTCAATATTATGAGAATTTGTGACTCATGAAAAAGTTGCCACAGCTAAAAGTACTGCTGGAGGTTGGTTAGAAGTACAAGTATTGGCGACTTTCTCCTGAACAGCGCGCTGGCTCTGTGCAATCAATCTACCGTGTTCAACGAAAAGATTTCGAGTGAAACCACGTGACTCGGGATGAAGATTGAGCGCTATGTAGCACTGTTGTTAAACATCTCATCCAGCCCTCTTTTTACCTACATAGTTCGAACCTGTAGGTTGAAGGGTCCGGAGCCATCGATTTCGTCAAGTCTGGACTGGACGAAATCGATGACTCTGGCCTACTGGACTTAACAATCTAGTCAAGAGCCTTCCTTTCCCGTTTCTCATTCACGACACAAATATTCAGATTTGAGTATGGGCAACATTTTGCTTGCCGCCCATACTTTTCAGTTCGAGCGCCTGAAGGACTGAATGAAGGCT